TATTGAGAGCCTTTTGTAGAGTCCTTGGCAGGCAGGTCTGCTGCTCGTTCCAGAGCCTGAGGGATGATACCAAGAAAGAAATGTTCTATACAAATGCATACAATCTGCCAAAATGACAACTATTATACAGTGTATAATGCATCCCAAGCGAAACATTACGCATTATTTTACAGTGGTTTAAATGACTTTGCTCAACACAATAAAGTTTCATCAGGACCTGATTAGAAATAACATTTAATAATGAATCAAATTCAAATAGCTTTATAGGCTTCACTGATAATTACAGTAAGCAATTGGTTGCCTAAGCAATAACAATTAGCAAAATGTATACAACACAAACATCTTCTTAGTACTGTTTTACAGGCTCACTCTCTGTTACTCACGCTGTGACAGGAGATCACTTACTGGGCTGCTGGTTCTGCTGGGTTTCTCCCCCCTATCTGAATTGGAAGCGTTTCTCATTTTCTCACTCTGGGAGGTTTGGAAATTCTGGGTTTAACTTTGTTATTTTGGGCAAGATTATTTGTCTAATCCTGCAGTATATCTCGCAGTACAGCAGAAAGCCCAACTCTGACTCTGCGTCTCCTTGCTGGACACTCTGATTTGTAGTGTTTTAGCAGTGTCCAGAGTCTAACGGGTGGAGGTGTTGCTTGGGGTAAGTGGGGTTTGGAACCAGCTGGCTGAAAGGGCTCTTGTCTGGACTCATCTCTTGGCTCATCAGACTCTTGTGGTGGATGGTGTTCTGGTCACTGTACTATTTTCTAGTCAATATTTTATTGCTGTCTTCTGCATATTTATTAGACGTATTGACCCAGTTCAGCCATTCACACATAGTTGGACATTTTGCTCTGCACATGGAGAAAGTGTTTACAGAAACATCAAGATATAACTTCTGTAGGGTGTTTGTCCCATTTCGTGTGGTGCTGGTCTGTGATTCGATCCCACACACGCCTTGATAATACAGTAGCTAAATGGGCTAGTTTACAACTTCAAATATTTAGAGCCAGTTTTTTGGAGGAAGGCCTAATGTACAATGTAACTTATGTGCTAATGTGACTTATGTGTACAAATCCTTGTGTGCAATCTCCTTCACTGCCCTCAGTGCCTGGTCCAAATCAATTAAATTATAGTAGTTCACTTCCTAGTCCCCAGATGACAACAGTTGCTGCAGAGTCTTCTACAATGTGACATGCATCTCACATGAATGTCTTCGGGAGCATCAAAAACCTTAAAATAAGCGCTTTTCCTTGAGCATGGGATTGCCAAGACACCCTTTTTTCATTGCAGTTTAAAGTGACTTTCTCCAGCATGAGAGTTTTCCCTCAACACAACCCTCCGATCTCCCAGCTCTGATGAGAAAATGAGAAAATGAGAAATAAGTTTCAGTTGCAAATGCAAGCCTTATATGGAAAATGTTAGCACTGACACACAGTTGTGAGTATTGCGGAATGTGAGTGCGCTTAAAAAAATCCCACTCTATCATCTGTAATTCATCATTCATAAACAGCAGTGTGAGATTTTCACTTCAAAATTATGGCGGACCAGGCTTGATGTGGCATTTCATTTTTTCCATACTTCTTTCAATTTGTCCGCAATCGCCTGACTTAACGGAATTGTGTTAGCATTTGCCCTGGAAGGTTCTCCGTTAGGCCAAATGCAATCTGGGAAAACAAAGGCAATAACAGGACTGTTTCTTTTCCTTGAACTGGAAAGATTGTGGGAGATAATTTGTGAGAAACTTAGAGGACAAAAGGGAATTTTCCACATGAGTTAATGGGGCAAATACATCATCTGTGATATAACATGATAACAGAAATAGAAAATGCTTACAGGAAAGAGCAGAAAAAATAAATCAAGGAAAACTACTGTATAATCTCACCCTTTGATATACGCAGACACCTTACTCTAAGAAAGACATTTTTTGTATTTATTTTTTTTTCACTTCAGACTAGTGCTCATGTTCTGTTAGATTGGTTATAGAGCATTGCATTTGGAATAGGGATTAGGGTCGTGTTTCCTTGGAAATGCAGAGCAAATTCTGAAGGCCAGCTGAAACTGGTAGAAATATTTCCTCCCCTGAACATAATGAAATGTTCATCGCACGGTTTTGAAAATCAAATGGATATAATGATGGAAGCAGGGCGGCTGGAAACTGAAATTGCATTCGGGTCAAAGGAAGTGCCAAAGATGCCTACAGATCTGATTAGGTTAAATCAATTCTCTGTTTAAACGAACGCCGGGCGTTACTATTCTTCACAGAGAATAACCAGGCCAGGAATACAGTGCATGAGAATAACCAGGCCAGGAATACAGCCCCGGTAATTCAGGAATCCATCAATCATCAGTATTGGAGGCCTGTCATGGACTTGCTTTGCTCAGTCGCTTATGGAGCAGAGCAACATGGGATTCACACCACTGGAATCACTGTACCAGCATCATCTCCTTCAGAAACCTTTAGATGCTAATAAAGGCAGTCTTATCTTGGGAAACACCATATCTGATCCCTTAGTATCTTTATCATTTCTGACTTGGATATACAGTTTAATGCAGTACATATACAGGAGGGAACATATTATACTGTATGTGTTCTGTTGCATTCTCCATCGTCACTTTCCCTAAGTGACACTTCTCCTTCAAAACTGTACACGGCAGCCATTTCACATCTCTTGAACTACCGTGTGCGTGCTGGATTTCCAATACCAGGACCTGCGGTAACCAGCACCCTTTTGAATTGAAATGTTTGGCGGGATCGTTCAGCAGGAGAAGATACAGTAGCTGCACCAAGTTACAGCCATATACTGGAGGATGTGCAAGCCACCCTTCGTTAGGATGTTGCCCAGGACCTCTCAAGATGAAACGTCACGTCTGGCCTGTTTGCTGTCAGGGCCTGAAACCAGCTGGATAACGTGCTTCACATCCCAGGTGCCAGACAAATCCTGTCTCCCTGCTGCCTTTGGCCCTCCTAATATCTCAACCATTCTGCACAGCAGGGTTAGAGTAAATGCTTTTCTGTGTTGCATAATTGAGTTGCAGTCCTCTGGAGTAATACTGCCGGCAGCATGCGAATGAGAGATTCATGGTTTAAGACGTACATAAGAAAGAAACAAAATGTCATGAAAAGACAAGTCTACAGCATTCAAAGGATACCACTTGGTCACTTTGCTTGTGACAGAATAGTTTAAGACAAACAGTGCAGTACTTACAGGAAAATGAGCGCTGTTCTTGTCTCTAGAATTATTCTACCAGATCAATGCATTGTGTTTCTTACGTATCTCTTTACTTGAAGAAACAGTAAGACACCAGATTAATGGGTTCTGGGCGTATCTGCACTTGCTTATTGCATTTTAGAAAAAAAAAAGAAAAACAGATGAACTCCAATAATGCAATTGTAGGAAGAGTCTTCACTGATATTTTGACATTTACCCCCTGGGTTTAGGCAGATGACCACCTGACCAGAGGATGAGGAAGTGACCCTCCAGTTGACTGAACATCTGGTTGGGAGGGGTGTTGTCTCAAGAGATGCTGGGGAAAGGGATCGGGTTTGCCTGTATTTGTACCTTAATTGAGCCCTTGATTGGCAGGATTCAAGACTTGAACTCCTCCCAGACTTTCCTTCTGAACTCCATGAAACTACAATGCACCCCAGAGGTGACTGGATAACATTAATGTAATAAACGTCATATTGAAAACCATTTAGGATGGATGAACCCATTTCATTCCCTTCCCTGTGCATTAAGTTTCAGTAAGTTATGGAAAGAAGCAGTTAATGGTTTACACTCACGATCAATATCTTCTGTTTTGTATGCTGTGTGGTAAATGTATGAGGTCATCAGCAGCAGGGATGACTTCATTTTGTCACTGTGGGTGTCCGAATGGACTGAAATGAGCTCATCAGGGCCTAGTGAGATCACGTCGTGGCCAGGCAGAATCAGCATTCAAAGGATATCACTTGGTCACTTTGCTTGTGTCTGAATTTTCTACCGATGTCTGTGAGTAGTAAATGAAAACAGCTTCCCGTGCTGAAGCCCTGGTGCTAGCAGTCTGTATAAGGTATGGTTTCTTTGTGCTGTAATCAATCATTTATATGCAGCAGGCCGTGAAAGCATAGATGATGATAATTTTTACAAAATTGTTCGTTAAAAAAATCCATTACAGCAATTTGCAATGACACGTTGCCCAAACACAGTTATCTAAAATATTTGCTTTTTTAAGGAATTTCACCCAGTATATGGGCCTTTGTAATTTACGGTTATAAAGAAGCAGCATGTGTAGTGTGATATATTATAGCACTGTACGAGATCTGCACGTATTAAACTAAATTAAATTCTGCCATTGGCTAGTCGGTGTAACTGCCTGTATTTTAAATAAAAGAACATCTTCTTTTAACAGTGTCCCTCAGGAATACTACTATTGCTGGGAAGCTGATACTCCACCTTAGTTTTTACTGATAAAAAAACATATTGAAGCAAGACAATTGAAAAGCAGTGCTTCGAGGCACACTGAGTCCCCAGTCTCATGGGTTTTTACAGTGAAAGCCTCTTCATCCCACCGGCAGGAGCATTTCCTATCACAGCAGGTTTTCTGGTAAAAACTGCCCTGTCCTTCCCTGGCAACAGGAGACAGGTGATGCCAAGAAACCTTGCAGAGTGCGCACGGCAGCGTATTGAAGAAATAATAATTGCGGTAGCGCAAAAAAAAAAAAATACCCCACAACAACCTTGAAATTTTTGCCCCCTCCTTCGTGACGCTGAGATATTTCCTTCTGTCTTCGGGGTGTGAAATGAGAAGGCCATCATTTAGGAGTGCTGACAAACCAATTTCCTCGCCCGAGCCTCGGCCCTTTCAGACAGACAGACAAGGCAGGCAGACAGGCCGGCCGGCACAGAAAAGTGCAGGGCGTGGCCCTTCACCCTCCTCTTCCCTCCCTTGGTTCAGCCGCCGGCGGGCGTATAAATATTTATCAGCTCCGGGGGCTGGCAGTGGGACTGGGGCATTAAGAATGCGACAGGAGAGGCCCGTGATTTGTTGATTAATATTCGGAGACGGAGGAGGAGAGCTCCTCTTTGCCTGCTCCTGCGTCTGTGTGAGCGCGTGTGTGTGTGCCTCTCTGCCGTTCCCTCCACCCTCCTCGTCTCTGGCAGGTTACAGCCCTATTGAGCTGACAGTGTGTTCCTCATTGTTCATTAGGCAGCTGGAAGCTTCAGCACTGCATCACTTACGAGACAGACCCAGCCCAGCTCTGCTCCCAGCCTCACACTCTCTCTGCTTCTCCGTCCGGCAGCATCCTTCGGCTCTCCAGCTCCTGCAGCCATGGCAAGCACTATCGCAGGTAGGGGGAAAAAGCTCTTTTTGTTTTCTGGGCAAGAGGAAGGACGTCTAGATGCCTTTAGGAAGCAGTCTGCTTTTATTTTTTAAACCAAAAATGTGCATTTTATTCTGGGCTGCTTGCAGTGCGCCCCCAGCAGAGATCTGTATTGAGATATTTAGTGTGTTCTGCTTTGTGGTAGCTTTTCAATCAATGCTATTGTTATATATGTATTGCTGTATATATAGATTGCAGGAATACCTTGAAAGGACTAGTCTCT